CTAGTCAGATTGTTAAATGATGAAGGGGGTGAGCTGAGGAGAGGAAGCCAGCCTCTAGTCAGATTGTTAAATGATGAAGGGGTGAGCTGAGGAGAGGAAGCCAGCCTCTAGTCAGATTGTTAAATGATGAAGGGGGTGAGCTGAGGAGAGGAAGCCAGCCTCTAGTCAGATTGTTAAATGATGAAGGGGGTGAGCTGAGGAGAGGAAGCCAGCCTCTAGTCAGATTGTTAAATGATGAAGGGGTGAGCTGAGGAGAGGAAGCCAGCCTCTAGTCAGATTGTTAAATGATGAAGGGGTGAGCTGAGGAGAGGAAGCCAGCCTCTAGTCAGATTGTTAAATGATGAAGGGGGTGAGCTGAGGAGAGGAAGCCAGCCTCTAGTCAGATTGTTAAATGATGAAGGGGGTGAGCTGAGGAGAGGAAGCCAGCCTCTAGTCAGATTGTTAAATGATGAAGGGGGTGAGCTGAGGAGAGGAAGCCAGCCTCTAGTCAGATTGTTAAATGATGAAGGGGTGAGCTGAGGAGAGGAAGCCAGCCTCTAGTCAGATTGTTAAATGATGAAGGGGGTGAGCTGAGGAGAGGAAGCCAGCCTCTAGTCAGATTGTTAAATGATGAAGGGGGTGAGCTGAGGAGAGGAAGCCAGCCTCTAGTCAGATTGTTAAATGATGAAGGGGGTGAGCTGAGGAGAGGAAGCCAGCCTCTAGTCAGATTGTTAAATGATGAAGGGGTGAGCTGAGGAGAGGAAGCCAGCCTCTAGTCAGATTGTTAAATGATGAAGGGGTGAGCTGAGGAGAGGAAGCCAGCCTCTAGTCAGATTGTTAAATGATGAAGGGGGTGAGCTGAGGAGAGGAAGCCAGCCTCTAGTCAGATTGTTAAATGATGAAGGGGGTGAGCTGAGGAGAGGAAGCCAGCCTCTAGTCAGATTGTTAAATGATGAAGGGGGTGAGCTGAGGAGAGGAAGCCAGCCTCTAGTCAGATTGTTAAATGATGAAGGGGGTGAGCTGAGGAGAGGAAGCCACTTGAAAGTAATGAGATGCAACCCTCAGTGATAGAACAGCACTGTGTGTTCTTGTTGGTTCTGTTACACATGGACACAACCACTGTTGAGTGTGTTAATGGTTAACTTTTGGCTACTATCACAGTGTCTGAACAGTGTGGACTATAAAACCGCATCTTAATTTCAACTAGTATTTGTTACATTGTATAGCATATAAATCAGCGGTGTAACTTTGTTTCAGTAGTTGAAGCTCTGCAGATTTTTCACACTGTGTGCTGTGGACTGAACGCCTGTTTGCTGTGTCGACAGGGTTAGTTCTGGTGTGTTAAAACCCGTTAAGCCAGATCAGGAGTTCAATACCAGGGGACACACTCTCTCCCCCCTCTCTCTCTTGGCTTGTGGGTTTAGGTCTTGTGACTTGTGATCAGGCTAGCTCTAGGGTGACACACACCACACTAGGCCTATGTCATTTCTGGTATGATTGTTTGTCCTCTCATCTATTTATAAGCCATAAGGAAGTGAAACTATGCTCGAGGTCTCATATAGTTTACCCAAGAGCAATTTTTCATGTTTATACTGAACAAAAATATAATCCCAACATGTAAAGTGTTGGTCCCATCTTTCATGAGCTGAAATAAAAGATCCCAGAAATTTTCCATATGCACAAAAAGCTTCTTTCTCTCAAATGATGTGCACACATTTGTTTACATCCCTGTTAGTGAGAATTTCTCCTTTGCCAAAATAATCCATTCACCTGACAGGTGTGGCATATCAAGAAGCTGATTAAACAGCACAATCATTACACAGGTGCACCTTGTGCTGGGGACAATACAAGTTTTGTCACACAACACAATGCCACAGATGTCTCAAGTTTTGAGGGAGAGTGCAATTGGCATGCTGACTGCAGGAATGTCCACCAGAGCTGTCATTTCAGAGAATTTGGCAGTACGTCCAACCAGCCTCAAAACCGCAGACCACGTGTAACCACGCCAGCCCAGGATCTTCACCTGAGGGATCATCTGAGACCAGCCACCCGGACAGCTGATGAAACTGTGGGTTTGCATAACCGAATAATTTCTGCACAAACTGTCAGAAACCATCTCAGGGAAGCTCATCTGCATGCTCTTCGTCCTCAACAGGGTCTTGAGCTGACTGCAGTTCGATGTCGAAACCGACTTCAGTGGAAAAATGCTCACCTTCGATGGCCACTGGCACACTGGAGAAGTGTGCTCTTCATGGATTAATCCCGGTTTTAACTGTACCGGGCAGATGGCGTCATGTGGGCGAGCGGTTTGCTGATGTCAACGTTGTGAAGAGAGTGCCCCATGGTGTGGTTATGGTATGGGCAGGCATAAGCTACGGACAACGAACACAATTGCATTTTATCGATGACAATTTCAATGCACAGAGATACCGTGATGAGATCCTGAGGCCCATTGACGTGCCATTCATCCGCCGCCATCACCTCATGTTTCAGCATTACAATGCACAGCCCCATTTCGCAAGGATCTGTACACAATTCCTGGAAGCTGAAAATGTCCCAGTTCTTCCATGGCCTGCATACTCACCAGACATGTCACCCATTGAGCATGTTTGGGATGCTCTGGATCGACAGCGTGTTCCAGCTCCCGCCAATATCCAGCAACTTCGCACAGCCATTGAAGAGGAGTGGGACAACATTCCACAGGCCACAATCAACAGCATGATCAACTCTATACGAAGGAGATGTGTTGCACAGCATGAGGCAAATGGTGGTCACACCAGATACTGATTGGTTTTCTGATCCACGCCCCTATCTCTTTTTTAAGGAATCTGTGACCAACAGATGCATATCTGTATTCCCAGTCATGTGAAATCCATAGATTAGGGCCTGATTAATTTATTTCAATTGACTGATTTCCTTATATGAACTGTAACTCAGTAACATCTTTGAAATTGTTGCATGTTGCGTTTATATTTTTGTTCAGTGTACATGAAGAGGGTAAAGTTCGTAATCATTTTACGAGCAGAATGGCACGGTCGAGAAGAAAAGCTTCATTTTCAAAAAGTTTAAGAGGTGAAAAACATGTGTTTTTGAGACAGGGGTGTCACCAAAGCTGTGTTCTATTCATTAGGTATGCCAAAGCAAATTTTCAAGGATACGTTAAAACATTTGATATACACACACTCCATTGGATACACACATCAAATCAAATCAAATCAAATTTTATTGGTCACATGCGCCGAATACAACAGGTGCAGACATTACAGTGAAATGCTTACTTACAGCCCTTAACCAACAGTGCATTTATTTTAAACAAAAAAAGTAAGAATAAAACAACAACAAAAAAAAGTGTTGAGAAAAAAAGAGCAGAAGTAAAATAAAGTGACAGTAGGGAGGCTATATATACAGGGGGGTACCGTTGCAGAGTCAATGTGCGGGGGCACCGGCTAGTTGAGGTAGTTGAGGTAATATGTACATGTGGGTAGAGTTAAAGTGACTATGCATAAATACTTAACAGAGTAGCAGCAGCGTAAAAAGGATGGGGGTGGGGGGCAGTGCAAATAGTCCGGGTAGCCATGATTAGCTGTTCAGGAGTCTTATGGCTTGGGGGTAGAAGCTGTTGAGAAGTCTTTTGGACCTAGACTTGGCACTCCGGTACCGCTTGCCGTGCGGTAGCAGAGAGAACAGTCTATGACTAGGGTGGCTGGAGTCTTTGACAATTTTGAGGGCCTTCCTCTGACACCGCCTGGTATAGAGGTCCTGGATGGCAGGAAGCTTTGCCCCAGTGATGTACTGGGCCGTACGCACTACCCTCTGTAGTGCCTTGCGGTCAGAGGCCAAGCAGTTGCCATACCAGGCGGTGATGCAACCAGTCAGGATGCTCTCGATGGTGCAGCTGTAGAATTTTTTGAGGATCTGAGGACCCATGCCAAATATTTTTAGTCTCCTGAGGGGGAATAGGCTTTGTCGTGCCCTCTTCACGACTGTCTTGGTGTGTTTGGACCATGATAGTTCGTTGGTGATGTGGACACCAAGGAACTTGAAGCTCTCAACCTGTTCCACTACAGCCCCGTCGATGAGAATGGGGGCGTGCTCAGTCCTCTTTTTTTTCCTGTAGTCCACAATCATCTCCTTTGTCTTGGTCACGTTGCTACCTCTCCTATTGACGTTATTCTCTTAATTTGTTCCCAGACTAACAGAAGCCACCAGATCATCCTTGATGTCGCTATCTTAGACATCATGGATTTAGGGGACAACAAGTGAAGAATGGCCAACCAATGATTCATCCCGGAACCCCACAACTGGAGGCCCAACACCAGAGGACCAAGCTGGAATCTCATGGACTAAATCAGGAATATCTGCTCTAAAAATGGAATCACTGGACTAAACTAGAACTCCATGGACCAAATAGGAATTGTTCTTAAACCAGGAATATCAGGACCAAAAGCTGAAATATGGACTAATTTATGCCTTTCTGGACAAAAATGTGAATCTCTGGACTGAAATTGGAATTGCTGGACTGAACTAGAAGTCTTTGGATTAAATCAGTAATCTCAGTAACATGACCGGTTTATTCTGTGATATCTGACTGACTTGCGTCGATGATGTGTGTGTTGTAACAGGGTAGTCACTAGATAGCCACGCTAGAGAGGTGAAAATATTATCAACACATTGACTCTCGAGGAAATACGGCCAACAGTGATGGATGCGGAAGTTCTAATAATCAAATCGGACAAATGGAGGGATACGTGGCTGTTACTTGTATAGGACTTTGATTTGTAATAACAGATACTGGGTGGAAAACCCCATTCCTCCTGAACGTTTATTAGTATCGATAAGTATCACGCGTTGAGGGTGACTATGCACTATGCACTGTGTTACAATCATTCAATAAGAATTCATCGGGTGCAAAATTCGACGTGGGGGATTCAGGGAAAATCAATGCTTAGTCCATTGATTGGTTAATCCCTAAAACAGACAGACTCCCACAACCTCCACCCTCCACCCCCCCATCGGTCAGGATGCTGTGCCCCAGGAAGAAGCGCCTCACCAGGGATGCAGATTTCTCTGCCATCGCGGTGCCGTCTATGCGGGGGTCTGGTTACCTGGACTACACCATAGAGACCCACCCCTCCAGAGCCCTCCAGGCCATGGAGGACTTCAGAAGGCACGAGATGCTGTGTGACATCACCCTCCACGTCACCTATAAGGACATGACCGCTGACTTCAAGGTGAGAGGGCTGCTCTTTGTTCCTACTATACTATAAAAAGCTGTGTAAGGTGATACTTGACTGTAAAATACAGCGTTAACCTTGCGCTTTACCCCAGGGGTTTGCTTATCAAAGCAAGAGGCTGTCAAATACTTTATTAGTTGAATCGGGTGTTTTACTGCTTGGTTGGAGTAAAAGCCTGCACCCCACCCACATGTATAAGATTGGCCACCCCTCCCCTCCCCCACCAGGTGCATAAAGTGGTGCTGGCGTCATGCAGCCCTTACTTCAAAGCCATGTTCACCAGCAGCTTTAAGGAGTGCCACGCCTCTGAGGTGACGCTACGTGATGTCTGCCCCCTGGTGGTAGGGAGGCTCATTGACTTCGCCTACACTTCACGCATCACTGTGGGGGAGAAGTGTGTGCTGCACGTCCTACTGGCCGCCCTGAGGTAAGAGACTATGTGGTGACATGAATAATTGGACTGGTAGATGGTCTATATATAAAGTGCTTCCTGGTGTCTTATATGATGAATCCTTCTGTACTTTTAAGGCGTGTTGTGACTACCTCATTGAACATGTCTAAAATGTGTGTGTGTGTGTGTGTCAGGTACCAGATAGAAGACGTGGCTAAGGCTTGCTGTGACTACCTCACTAAAAACTTGGAGCCTGCCAACGTGATCGGCATCGCTCGCTTCGCTGAGGAGATTGGCTGCACTGAGCTGCACCTGAGGAGCCGCGAGTACATCAACACACACTTCAACGAGGTAGGAACCATACATACACACACACACACTTTGTATCTCACCCGCATAATGTAGCCAATGTGGCTGGCTCTGTGTCTGAAGTCACCTGAAGTAACCTTTCAGATGTGGGTTGGATTTGGGCCAAAATAATGTTGCTGTTTGTCGAACAGCTGTCATATTGCTGTACACATGAGCTATTTTATCAGGATGTCATAAAGACTATAAAACATCAACGAGACAAAGATGATTCTGCCTTTTATTGATAGACGTTAGAGGAGCCATTGTGGCTCCAAGAGGACCTGACATACAGACTCTACACTCGAGACCATTATAGCATCCATGATGTTCTTACACTGTGAAGAGCAGGAAGCCACTGAAGGTGTTATGGTTTTCGTAGGAATCCCAGAGCTTCCACAATGTAGGGATGCACATGTACACCGTATATCCCCCTTCATCAGTTCTAGAGTGAAAGCATTAGAAATGTGCTTATCATCAGGTTTGAGGTGGTAAATATGCAGGATTCTCTGACCATTCTTGTACATGTACAGTGCCTTCAGAAAGTATTCACACCCCTTGACCTTTTCCACATTTCGTTGTTGCAAAGTGGGATTAAAATGGATTTAATTGTAATTTGATCTACACAAAATACTCTGTCAAAGTGTAAAAAGAATTCTAACATTTAGTAAAAATTAATGAAAAATAAAACACTCATATCTTGATTAGATAAGTATTCACCCCCCTGAGACAATACCTGTTAGAAAAACCTATGGCAATGATTACAGCTGTGAGTCTTTTTGGGTAAGTCTCTAAGAGCTTTGCACACCTGGATTGTACAATATTTGCCCATTTTATACTTTTGAAAAATTATTCAAGCTCTGTCAAGTTGGTTGTTGATCATTGCTAGAAAGCCATTTTCAAGTCTTACCATAGATTTTCAAGCCGATTTATGTCAAAACTGTAACTAGGCCACTCAGGAACATTCAATGTCATCTTGGTAAGCAACTCCAGTGTAGATTTGGCCTTATGTTTTAGGTTATTGTCCTGCTGAAAGGTGAATTTGTCCCCCAGTGTCTGTTGGAAAGACTGAACCATATTTTTCTCTAGGTTTTTGCCTGTGCTTATCTGTATTCCGGTTTTTTTATCCTAAAAACTACCTAGTCCTTGCCGATGACAAGCATACCCATAACATGATGAAGCCACCACCATGCATGAAAATATGAAGAGTGGTACTCGGTGATGGATTTGCCCCAAACACAACGCTTTGTATTCAGGACAAAAAGTAAATTTCTTTGCCACATTTTGTGCTGTATTACTTACAGTGAGGGAAAAAGGTATTTGATCCCCTGCTGATTTTGTACGTTTGCCCACTGACAAAGAAATGATCAGTCTATAATTTTAATGGTACGTTTATTTGAACAGTGAGAGACAGAATAACAACACAAAAATCCAGAAAAACGCATGTCAAAAATGTTATAAATTGATTTGCATTTTAATGAGGGAAATAAGTATTTGACCCCCTCTCAATCAGAAAGATTTCTGGCTCCCAGGTGTCTTTTATACAGGTAACAAGCTGAGATTAGGAGCACACTCTTAATCTCATCTTGTTACCTGTATAAAAGACACCTGTCCACAGATGCAATCAATCAATCACATTCCAAATTCTCCACCATGGCCAAGACCAAAGAGCTCTCCAAGGATGTCAGGGACAAGATTGTAGACCTACACAAGGCTGGAATGGGCTACAAGACCATCGCCAAGCAGCTTGGTGGGAAGGTGACAACAGTTGGTGCGATTATTTGCAAATGGAAGAAACACAAAATAACTGTCAATCTCCCTCGGCCTGGGGCTCCATGCAAGATCTCACCTTGTGGAGTTGCAATGATCATGAGAATGGTGAGGAATCAGCCCAGAACTACACGGGAGGATCTTGTCAATGATCTCAAGGCAGCTGGGACCATAGTCACCAAGAAAACAATTGGTAACACAGTACGCCGTGAAGGACTGAAATCCTGCAGCGCCCGCAAGGCCCCCCTGCTCAAGAAAGCACATATACAGGCCCGTCTGAAGTTTGCCAATGAACATCTGAATGATTCAGAGGAGAACTGGGTGAAAGTGTTGTGGTCAGATGAGACCAAAATCGAGCTCTTTGGCATCAACTCAACTCGCCGTGTTTGGAGGAGGAGGAATGCTGCCTATGACCCCAAGAACATCATCCCCACCGTCAAACATGGAGGTGGAAACATTATGCTTTGGGGGTGTTTTTCTGCTAAGTGGACAGGACAACTTCACCGCATCAAAGGGACGATGGACGGGGCCATGTACCGTCATATCTTGGGTGAGAACCTCCTTCCCTCAGCCAGGGCATTGAAAATGGGTCGTGGATGGGTATTCCAGCATGACAATGACCCAAAACACGGCCAAGGCAACAAAGGAGTGGCTCAAGAAGAAGCACATTAAGGTCCTGGAGTGGCCTAGCCAGTCTCCAGACCTGAATCCCATAGAAAATCTGTGGAGGGAGCTGAAGGTTCGAGTTGCCAAACGTCAGCCTCGAAACCTTAATGACTTGGAGAAGATCTGCAAAGAGGAGTGGGACAAAATCCCTCCTGAGATGTGTGCAAACCTGGTGGCCATCTACAAGAAACGTCTGACCTCTGTGATTGCCAGCAAGGGTTTTGCCACCAAGTACTAAGTCATGTTTTGCAGAGGGGTCAAATACTTATTTCCCTCATTAAAATGCAAATCAATGTATAACATTTTTGACATGCGTTTTTCTGGATTTTTTTGTTGTTATTCTGTCTCTCACTGTTCAAATAAACCTACCATTAAAATTATAGACTGATAATTTCTTTGTCAGTGGGCAAACGTACAAAATCAGCAGGGAATCAAATACTTTTTTCCCCCACTGTAAGTGCCTTGTTGCAAACAGGATGCATATTTTGGAATATTTTTATTCTGTACAGTCTTCCTTCTTTTCACTCTGTCATTTAGGTTAGTATTGTGGAGTAACTACAATGCTGTTAATCCATCCTCAGTTTTCTCATATCACAACCATTGAAATCTATAATTGTTTTAAAGTCACCATTGGCTTCATAGTGAAACCCCTGAGCCGTTTCCTTCCTCTCCGGCAACTGAGTTAGGAAGGACGCCTGTATTTTTGTATTGACTGGGTGGTGTATTGATACACCATCCAAAGCCTAATTAATAACTTCACCATGCTCAAATGGATATTCAATCTCTGTTTATTTTTATTTTTAACCATCTACCAATAGGTTTCCTTCTTTGCGAGGCATTAAAAACCTCCCTGGTCTTTGTGGTTGAATCTGTGTTTGAAATTCACTATTCGATTGAGGGACCTTACAGATAATTGTATGTGTGGGGTACAGAGATGCGGTAGTCATTCCAAAATCATGTTAAACACTATTATTGATCACAGAGTCCGTGCAACTTATGTGAATTGTTAAGGACCGTTTTACTCCTGAACTTATTTAGGCTTGCCATAACAAAGGGATGGAATACTTATTGACTCAAGACATTTCAGCTTTTCATTTCTTATTAACTTTGAAAATGTTTTACAAACAAAATTCCACTTTGACATTATGGGGTATTGTGTGTAGATCAGTGACACAAAATCTCAATGTAATGCATGTTTAATTCAGACCATAACACAACAAAATGTGGAAAAAGTAAAGGGGTATGAATACTTTCTGAAGGCAATGGAAAAGTTGTTCATGGCAGTGAATCTCAAGTAGTAGACTCCTCTTACTGTAGCTGTGGAGATACCTGGAGCAGAGGACAAGAACATTTTGCATACATGCTTTAATATAGTTTGAACTCCTAAACTAAAGTCAGTCAAAAACAGTCTATATGGTTGGGCCGTAAAGTGACTACCTGTTGTCGGGTCGTAGGCCTTGCCGATGTTGGTGATGACTCTGGTGTAGACCAGGGTGGTGACATTATTGAAGGGGCCTACAGGTCTATCGTGGCTCAAACCAGCAGAGAAGGCCACTTTTGGTTTGCCTGTGAACACAGGAGAGAAAACGGTAGAATTACTTGATGATACTGATAAAATGACTTTCTTCTATTCTCATTCACAGAGTGCAAACTGCAGTATCTTTTATGGTTCGAAGGTTCTCAGTGGTATTCAATACATTATATTTGTGGAACAGGGAATTCAGCAGCAATGTAGATTTAGTGAAATTAACTGATCCCGAACCCAAAAGCAATGTTCTTTACATCTGTTTTACTATAACATTAGCTCCTCCACCTGGCTCTCATTGGAACCGTCTGGCCTCCAGGCCTGAAAACAACAGACATATTCACACCAAGAGTCACCAGTAACTTTACATCCAACATGAAACAATGTTAACCCTTCCTCAAGTCATTATAAACAGTGGGACACTGTGACTGACTTATTTCCTTCAATTTACACCTTTACAACCATACGTGTTAAATCACCTGGGTTCTTTATCTTCAGCGTCCCCATGGTGGCTTCTAAGGTCCACTACTGTGTTTCTCTGCTCCTTCGCCTCAGCCTCACTGGCTGTCACTCTGGCCTCCATGTTCCTCAGCTTCTCTCTCTGCTCCACCACGATGGTTCCCAGGTTGTGCACCATGTCTCTCAGCTCCTTCATCTCAGTCCCGATGTCAGGGGTGGTGGTCTGTTCGTTGGTCGTCTCTGTAGCTTCGGTCCCTCGTCTCTCTATCTGAACCTCACTCACCCTGCTCTCTCTCCCTGCACTGTGACCCTGTTGAGTGACATCACTCTCTCTGACCCCTCCACTCTCCTCCTGAGTCCATGACCCAGACAGACAGAACAGCAACACCAGCAGAGCTACAGCACCCCTCATTCTGTAACGACACCTGTTCAGATATGATGCACTTTGTGAGGCTCAGACCCCTTCCTTATATACACACATCTCAGTTAAGCAGTACCTTTACAAGAGACACATCATTAGAAATCAAGGTAAAAACAAGAACATTTGATCAAATAAGTTTCATTTTGGGGCTGGTAAGTTCTATCAATGTTGTAAAGACCATGAGAAGTCTGCAACTGTTGTTTGGTGAAGGGTCCCCTGACGTCAGCTGTTCTCGCTTTAACGTTAGACAAAAACAGTGTGCTTAGTCATGACATAGATTATTGACGGACTGTGTTTTTTGTGTGTGATTATGTGACGCGTGTTGACTGCGTGTCTAATTGTCCCTACCCCAGGTAACCAAAGAGGAGGAGTTCTTCAGTCTGTCTCACTGTCAGCTTTTGGAGCTGATCAGCCAGGACAGCCTCAAGGTGCTCTGTGAGTCCGAGGTATAGATTTGATTTATATTCTATTCTATTGTTTATCCTGAGGTGTATATTTCTATACTTCACTTATATGCAAACCTTTCTAAAAACCTGTTTTCGCTTTGTCATTACGGGGTATTGTGTGTAGATTGAGGAAAAAAATGAATTTGATCAATTTTCGAATAAGGCTGTAACGTAACAAAATGTGGAAAAAGGGAAGGGGCCTGAATACTTTCCGAATGCACTGTACTTCACCTATATGCATATTTCTATGTGAAAATCAAGATAACCATCTGTTTGACCATGAGCTCCTTGGTGACAGGTGTACAAGGCGTGTACAGACTGGGTGCGTTGGGATGTGGAGAGCAGAGCGCCGTATCTCCACGCCCTCCTCAATGCTCTCCACGTCTATGCTCTGCCTCCCAAGTTCATCAAGATACAGCTCCAGTCCTGCCCCATCCTCAGCAAGGCAAGTCACTATCTATGAAACCTATGTCATTTATTCATCTGTGACCGGCTACTGGGATTGATTTATAGATTGAGGAATACCTAATTCTATCATTTTCTATTTTCATGTTCCTTTCTTCCTTCCTTCCTTCCTTTAATCCAGGCCAACTCATGTAGAGACTTCCTGTCTAAGATATTCCAGGAAATGGCATTGAGGAAGCCCCTCCCCCCTGCGCCTCACCGTGGAACACAGCTTATCTACGTAGCTGGAGGGTACTCTACAACCATATGATGGGATGGGGTGTAGTAGGATAGTATAGCATAGTATACGATACAATACAATGAGATAATTAGATGATATGATATCATATGAGTATGATGATAGAATCCTGATGTGGTCATGGTATGTACTGTCTGATCCTCCTGTGTTCCATCCCAGGTATCGGCAGCACTCTCTGTCTTCTATGGAGGCCTATGACCCTGGTAGGAACGTCTGGCTGAAGCTAGCTGACATGGACTCTCCCTGCAGTGGTCTGGGCTCCTGTGTGCTGTTTGGCCTGCTCTACACGGTACACGCACGTACGCACACACCTTGCTTTCTACGGCCTTGTCTGTCTATCTAACCCTTCCTCCTCTTTCTCAGGTGGGAGGCAGGAACCTGTCCCTACAGAACAACACTGAGTCCAGTTCCCTGTGCTGCTACAACCCTATGACCAACCAGTGGAGCCAGCACGCCTCCCTCAACACCCCCAGGAACAGGGTGGGGGTGGCCGTGGTGGACGGGAGCATTTACGCCGTAGGGGGGTCCCAGGGCTCCACACATCATAACACTGTGGAGAGGTGAGGAGGGGGGAGGTGAGAGAGAGCGAGATTCCCCAAGATAATGTAGAAATTCCTGAGCCCAAGGTGGGGGACTAATTAGTGTGACAGCTTTTGGTCCTGCTGTGTTGGGGCCCACTTCCAAGGAATGTCAATCCGATTGGGAATGCTTCACAACTCGCTGCTGTGCGGCTAACCGGTAGGAAAATATCTTCACCGGAATGCCGTTACAGGATCCGTGGCTCTGGTAGAATACCTCAGAGATGTGTCCTTCCTTCCTTCCTTTCCTCGCCACTGCTCTCCTTTCCTCCCACCCTCCCACAAAGCTTGTTACTAGACACCGCACAAAGCTGGTAGCTTTAGTTAATCCACTGTAAGTTACCTTGCTCATATACATTGGGTTAGTTATACTATCTAGCTCACACTGATGGGTCCTACAGTCCCATGCACTCAGGTCATGATGATGATGATAACAATGCTAATGAGCATTAAAGTTGCACTATGCAGAAATCGCGCCGCCATTTCCTGGTTGCAACATTTTGAATAGTTCCCCCAAACAAGCAAGTATAGTGTAGAGAATCATTGTACCATCTAAACCGCTGTGAAATGTATTTTCCATAACCAAATATATTGTATTTTCAGCTGTTTGAAGCTGGTGTACAAATCCGAAAGTAAAAGATGCAAAAACGAAACTTAAGAACGGGAAGAATAGAAATAACACATAGAACAGATCTACTGCTTCTTAGACTTGCTTTTTTTAACTCACATTTCTATGTGAATTTGGTCGGGTCACCCAAAAAGTTACATATTGCAGCTTTAAGACAACCACCACCATAAATTCTCTCTCTCTCTCTCTCTCTCTGCCAGGTATGACCCAGAGGCGAACCGCTGGGTGTTTGTGAGCCCCATGTCAGTAGCCCGTCTAGGGGGCGGGGGTAGCAGGTTGTGGGGGGTCTCTGTACGTGGTGGGGGGGTTCGACGGCCAGAACCGCTGGAACACAGCAGAGAGGTTCCACCCTGACTCCAACACCTGGCACCAACTTGCCCCCATGACCACTGTACGCAGTGGACTGGGTGAGTATGTGTGCGTGCGCACGTGTGTGTGTGTGTGTGTGTGTGTATACACCTGTGGATAACGTCTCCCTCTGTGTGTGTGTATAGGTGTGGTGTGTGTGGACTCGTACCTGTATGCAGTAGGAGGGTATGACGGTCATACCCAGCTCAGCTCCATGGAGAGGTACAGTGTAACCAGAGGTACTGTGTGGGAGCCAGTGGCCTCCATGCAGCACTGCCGCAGCGCTCATGGAGTCACCATCTACCAGGGACGCATCTTCGTACTGGGTGAGTCTGGAGAAACCTACCATCTCTCTGGAGAGTTTGGCCAACTTTAGAACGAGATACCATGTTGCTGCCTCTGAGCCTTTGATTCACTTATCCTCTTTCCCTCTCTCTCTCTCCCTCTCCCCCTCCATCCCTCTTCCTCTTCCTCCCCCTCCATCCCTCTTCCTCTCCCTCCATCCCTCTTCCTCTCCCTCCCCTCCATCCCTCTTCCCCCCCCCCCCCCCCTCCATTCCTCTTCCTCTCTCCCCCTCCATCCCTCTTCCTCCCTCCTACCTCCAGGTGGTTTTAACTCCACAGGGTTTCTGTCCAGTGTTGAAAGTTACTGCCCTGACACCAACCAGTGGACGTCCGTCACCAACATGTTGCTAGGACGCAGTGGAATGGCCGTCGCAGTAACCATGGAGCCCTGCCCCGGCAACCTGCCCGTGGAGGAAGAAGAAGAGGAAGTGACATACAGTTAGACCGAGGAGAAATGACTCATCATAACTCAAAAAAATCTACTGGATTTCTACTTTTTATGTCTGACTCAATATGGCGGCAGAGCAGGACTTTTTGCCATAGAATTAGAATGAGTAGAAAGGACAAAGCTCTAGGATCATTTAGCAGACTGCACTTTTATCCAAAGCCACAAAGTTTGCATTGATCAAGAATGTCTGTTCTGATCATTCTAATTCTATGTGGAGTCAGTAGGACGTGGACCAGAGGGAGGAAGTGACCTCACAATGACCTCATAAAGTGACCTCGCTATTATTAGGGTGCTACAGACATAGAATTAGGAATTAGAATACTAGAATGGACATTAACCTTCTTATGATGCCATTATAAGACACATCATTGCACAATGTATGAATCACTAAATTGGCTGTCACTCCCAAAAAGAAGACATTGGTACCAATTTATTTTTAAATGTATCAACTTAAATTTAAGGAATGCCTAACTTTACAAGACTCACACAACTCCTTTCGACAACAGCAGAAATTACAAATTCCAAGGGTACATCATGAGGTTGGAGTAAGAGCTTTCAGATACGAAGGCCCAACTGACTTGACTAATTTTCCTTAGGAAAAATCACAGTGAATTTAAGAAAGCCATTTTTCAAATGTTAAAAACAAACTGTTTGTGTTTTTAACTAGCTAATAGAAACATCAGCATGTGAAGATATTTTTAAGTATGTATATATTATACAGTTAGGGAAAAAAGTATTTGATCCCCTGCTGATTTTGTACGTTTGCCCACTGACAAAGACATGATCAGTCTATAATTTTAATGGTAGGTTTATTTGAACAGTGAGAGACAGAATAACAACAAAAAAATCCAGAAAAACGCATGTCAAAAATGTTATAAATTGATTTGCATTTTAATGAGGGAAATAAGTATTTGACCCCTCTGCAAAACATGACTTAGTACTTGGTGGCAAAACCCTTGTTGGCAATCACAGAGGTCAGACGTTTCTTGTAGTTGGCCACCAGGTTTGCACACATCTCAGGAGGGATTTTGTCCCACTCCTCTTTGCAGATCTTCTCCAAGTCATTAAGGTTTCGAGGCTGACGTTTGGCAACTCGAACCTTCAGCTCCCTCCACAGATTTTCTATGGGATTAAGGTCTGGAGACTGGTTAGGCCACTCCAGGACCTTAATGTGCTTCTTCTTGAACCACTCCTTTGTTGCCTTGGCCGTGTGTTTTGGGTCATTGTCATGCTGGAATAACCATCCACGACCCATTTTCAATGCCCTGGCTAAGGGAAGGAGGTTCTCACCCAAGATTTGACGGTACATGGCCCTGTCCATCGTCCCTTTGATGCGGTGAAGTTGTCCTGTCCCCTTAGCAGAAAAACACCCCCAAAGCATAATGTTTCCACCTCCATGTTTGACAGTGGGGATGGTGTTCTTGGGGTCATAGGCAGCATTCCTCCTCCTCCAAACATGGCGAGTTGAGTTGATGCCAAAGAGCTCGATTTTGGTCTCATCTGACCACAACACTTTCACCCAGTTCTCCTCTGAATCATTCAGATGTTCATTGGCAAACTTCAGACGGCCCTGTATATGTGCTTTCTTGAGCAGGGGGACCTTGCGGGCACTGCAGGATTTCAGTCCTTCACGGCGTAGTGTGTTACCAATTGTTTTCTTGGTGACTATGGTCCCAGCTGCCTTGAGATCATTGACAAGATCCTCCCGTGTAGTTCTGGGCTGATTCCTTACCGTTCTCGTGATCATTGCAACTCCACGAGGTGAGATCTTGCATGGAGCCCCAGGCCGAGGGAGATTGACAGTTATTTTGTGTTTCTTCCATTTGCGAATAATCGCACCAACTGTGTCACCTTCTCACCAAGCTGCTTGGCGATGGTCTTGTAGCCCATTCCAGCCTTGTGTAGGTCTACAATCTTGTCCCTGACATCCTTGGAGAGCTCTTTGGTCTTGGCCATGGTGGAGAGTTTGGAATCTGATTGATTGATTGCTTCTGTGGACAGGTGTCTTTTATACAGGTAACAAGCTGAGATTAGGAGCACTCCCTTTAAGAGTGTGCTCCTAATCTCAGCTCGTTACCTGTATAAAAGACACCTGGGAGCCAGAAATCTTTCTGATTGAGAGGGGGTCAAATACTTATTTCCCTCATTAAAATGCAAATCAATTTATAAAATTTTTGACATGCGTTTTTCTGGATTTTGTTGTTGTTATTCTGTCTCTCACTGTTCAAATAAACCTACCATTAAAATTATAGACTGATCATTTCTTTGTCAGTGGGCAAACGTACAAAATCAGCAGGGGATCAAATACTTTTTTCCCTCACTGTAGGTACTTAGTTTTATTAGTTGTATTGGTAGTTGGAGCAGTAGTTTATTACTTGTAGGCCTATTAGTAGTTGTACAACAACTTTTATATGCTGTTAATGTACGTTAAACATTTTTATTTAAAATGTAGTTGCCATATTATTCTTGTTACTAAGTATTGTTTGTTTGTTTAGTTTTTTTTTTTTTTGGACACTTGAAAACGAGATGCATCTCAAGAGATTTCATCCTGCAAAATGTCTAATAAATAAATAAATGATGGGATAAAGGTCAGGCCATTTTGGTCAGGGAGTTGGTCAACCATGGTTTGCGAGTGCTGTGATAAGATAGTGCCAAAGAATGAATTTGAAGAATTTATCTGCACTGTATGTGTGTTAGCTAGCTAGCCAGACAGTTTTAGAGGAATGATTCAATTAATTTTTCTAATTAACTGCCAATATGCCAACATTCTATTCAAACAATCCAGTCAATCCACAGCCATACACCGGCTGAAATCAGTTGATGATAGGACAGACAAGTTGTAAATGCAACAAGTACTGATATTGTATCATATAATAGCACTCTCAGCTTTCCAAGAAAACATAAAATGTAGACATTTATGGTCTGTTTACATATATTTTAGAGGCTTTTTACAGAACATGGTCTAAAACCCAAATAAACTGTATTTATGATTATATGACAATATTTTAGGTTGACAGTAATTCTATTACACAATTTCCGATATATCACATGCCTTAGTTTTATTTTCCTGCATAAGTAAAATCAGGATTATGCCTCTACTACCATTCATTCCAATTAGACTGGTTTGGATTTCTCCTTGACCACAATGGATGCCATTTTCATCCCATTCTGGACCTTTGAGGGTTTATGACATAGCCCCTCTAGTAATTTAATAGGATCTATATTGCTATAGAACTAATCTCAGAGACTCTTCTAATTGACTGTGCCATCATGTCCCCTCTCTATCGACAATTCTATGACCATAAATGTAGCAGTTTTTCACGTGCAGTGTTGTCATAATCCAAGTGCACCTTATGTGTTCACATTCACTGTTTATTGTCTTGTCCATAACATAGGGGGAAGCTCCAGAGAAGCTGAAATGAAGACAGTTCTCTCTCTATCCTCACATACTTTGCATTCCAAATGGCACCTTATTCCCTTTATAGTGCACTACTTTTGACCAGGGCCCATAGGTATTAAAACTCGTGGTTAATTTATCTTGCTGCGCTGTTGTAGAGCCTAGTCACTGTGGGTGCATGTTGGTTAACCACCACTAGGTGGAGGAAGACTACAACCAAATAATAAAGGAATGAGAACACAACAGAACAAAACACATAACAGTCACTCATAACAACAGGACACATTCAAGCGTGTGTTTTTCATTCTGTATTCTAACCATGGCCATAGGACTGTTTAGTAGACGTCACAGCATTAGTCACCACTGGTTTACGTCAGACTACTGTTTACTTATCTCTGTGTGTGTGTGAACCCTCCCCCTCTGTGCTAGCTGATGTTATCTCTGTGTGTGTTCAGTAGGAGTCTTTAGGGTCAGGCATATTCACATACAAACCTCCATGTCGCCAGTACTGCTGCTTTTCTTTCCTCACTGACTGACTGCCCAGGGCAGCGTTCATCTGGTGTCCCAGGTCTCACACCTGAGATCTGAATCAGTCCCTGATAAGAGTGGAAAGATGAGCACTAAAAGGGTGTATATTTGAGTGGAAATGCAAGGATGAGAAAAGAGGAGGTGGGTGGAAGGAGAGGAGAGAGGGAGGTGGAGAAAGAGGAGAGAGGAGGGGGAGGGGAGAGATGAGGAGGCGATGCTGGATGGTGAGAGAGGCTAGAGGGGATTCGGTGTAGAGGGCTGAGTTGGAAGGTCTTTCGAGTGGTGAGTTAGGGGCTGTTTTCTTCGTCTCTTTGGTTCTTGTGACTTCTTTTGGATGTCTGCGCTCTCGAGATGTATGGTCTATTGAGAGGAGTTCTTAGCAGATGGAGGGTTAAGAGGGAGCGAGATTGGGATAGGAGAAAAATGATCTTCTACTTAGACCCTTACACTTGCGGATGACTCACATGGCAAACACATGGCACACGCTGACACGCAACACACACACTGACTGTCTCTGATCTAAATGTCTGATTCATGGTTCATAGAGGCCTCTCGCTTCAGTGTATTCAGTGTCTCCTTAAAGAAAGCAGAGCTAGGTTTCAACCCGTCTTAAACTCATAGAAACAGATCATACAGAATGTCTGTAGTTCTGTATGTATGATATATAGAGGTTGAAATGGAATGTGCATACATGTGGAAGTGACCTTGGGAAGGGATGACCTTATCAACATCTCTGCCTGCAAACATAATCTGTTGCCTTCTGAAGGGTGCCCCAACGGCACACACACATCAACATCCCTCCCTGCCTACAAACATAATCTGTATAAATGTATAGTGTTCCATGAAGGTGACATTGGTGGTTACGGACACACAAATACACACACATACACAAATGCACAAGCACACATACAGGCACACACAGATTACACTGATGCGTATGGGTGATACACACACACACACACACAATGGAATAGTGCGCCTGATTTTCCCCCAAGCCATGTTCCCTGTGACGCAAAGTAATGTACGTACATGAGTGACATAAGTACAGCATGTGTGTGTGTGTGTGTGTG